CAGATAAATCGAAAATATACTGTTTCTAATATATATATATATATTTAGTGTAAATATTTATTTGTATATATATACAAATAAATATTCATATTAAATTAAATAAATTTTTGATTTAATTTCAAGTCATAATGCATAGGTTATCTAGATAAAAACAAATTAATGTTTGAATTTTGACATTATTAAAGAATAAAAAAGAACCTATTAATCAGATCCAAGTCAGATTTGAAAACTGACAATGCCAAAAAAAAGGCAACTATTGGATTTCAGATTCAAACTGCTAACCTTACTAATAAATTCCCTTAATTTCCATAAATTATATAAAATAACATAAAAATAAATCTCACAGTTATTTATTGTTTGATTTATAGTTTATCCAGATTTATTACATTTTAACAATCATAAGTTTTTACTTTTAAATTGATATATAGAAACAAAACAACAGAAAAAAAATAAAAAATGTTTTGAAGTAAAGGTTCAATACCACAATGCTAATTACAAAAGTTTAGTACTGTGATATGAAGAAATCACATTCTTAAAATTTTGTTGAAATTTTAAACATAATTTCTGAAAAAAGCAGCAAATCTAATTCCAAAATAATATTTATATAGGTGTAAATTATTTAATGGCTGAAATATAACCAAATCCACAAAACATTCAGCACATTCTTTTCTTGTAAAAGTAAACATAAAAACATTTTTTCTTCATCTAACTTCTACTTCTGAATGAAAATTCAAATGTAATCTAAATAATACATATATTTTAGTAGAGATAGCAATTTTTACAGACATGACACTCTTTCCTCAAAACATAATAAACAACATTACATTACAAGTATAATTCCTAGTAATTAAATGTAAAAATGTTTTAAAAAATTTCAATAAATGTTAATACCAGAGCTGTGAAGGTGGTAAAAATTTACAAAATCTACCCTCAATATAAACTTAAACTACAGACATATACTTAAATAAAAGTTCTAAGACTGAATAAGTAACTTATTTATTCACAGGACAATGATGAAATGTCTTATGGTATCATTAACCATTTTAGTAGGTTTACCATTATTAATACATATTGAACATTGGTAAAGGAATCAGAATCAGAAATTTAAAAATTGAGAATAGTCAGAATTTTGTGTGGTTGTGTGTGTTGAGTCTACAGTCATAGTTAGTATTCTTTAATAAATATGACATAAGAAAATATTGCACTGACAAATATGTATACAGACAACATATAAGTTGAACATGCTCAAACTCTTTGCAAACTATTTTACATGAATGTTGTAATATACAGGATATCAAGAAAACCACAAATATAATAAATTCATAAAGTAATATCAAAAGAGAAACATTCAAAAAGAATGAATTATGTTATTGGACAAAAATAGAGATAGTGTATGATCAAACAGCAAGAGTCAGTTGGCATGAATTAAAATAAGTGCATGATTAATCATCAGAATCAGACACCACTGACAATAAATATAACAAAGGATGACCCACAATCCCAATAAAAAATAGTTTCTACATTCATGCAATCATTAAAAATTGATATATATTGGAACAAGTTGACAACTGACTTCAAAAACTGCATTAAACAATTTTTCTATTTATCATATTTTTAAATATATGATTAAAATGTGAAAAACTGAAGCATATCAAATTATCAACAATCTCCAATTTGAATGTTTTGAGAACCTCTCATGACATAAAAACAATCATATTTCATTAATGTAACCAGTAACCTTAATGCATAATATTCAAAACCATGATATCATATGATTAAACTTGTAAACTTCTGGCTTAGTGACAATGACAAATTTTGATTGGTTGGTTAGGCTTAGTGGTGCAAGGACCATTTTTGGCCATGCTGGACTATAACAGATTTTGAAGCCTTTTCCTTACCCTACAGAAGTAAGTTCCCATGACCTTAATTCGTTGTAAAAGATGAAGAAACCTCTTCCAGGACAATAACTTACAATACAGCAAAGCTATTACAAAATACTAATACAAACACAGATCTTCAATAATACAGTAGAGCGCCGTTTATCTGAATCAATTGAGGACTGGGGTTGTTCGAATAACCAATTATGTACGAAAAAATATATTAATTTATCCCGTGTTGAAATTTCTCTCCGTTGCGTGTCGCTTCACGTTGAATTTTCGTCCATGTTAAGCCTAACGAAGACTATTGTATCGTTAAAAATTGATTTTTTATTCTTTACAAACAAAATAAATATATTGAAAAATATAAAAACAATAAAAAATTATACTTCAGAAGTTAATTTAGTATCAAAAACATAAAATATTTGAGTAGCCGAAGACATAGCCAAAGATTACAATGCCACAACACTGGCGAAAATTTAAATTTGTCAACTGGAATTCCTTTGAATAACCGACCTTCGGATAAACGACGCTCTACTGTATTAACAAGAATCATTCTACCAATAGCATTCACCAATTTTTGGATCTCTGGAAAAATTGCTTTGCTTTGCAAGAAATTACACTGATGATAAATGTTTGTTCTAATATGATAAAAACTTTTCTTAATGCATTGTACATGTTATCCTTACTTTTACTTAATTTCTACAGATAAATCGAAAATATACTGTACTGTATGTTTGTATAAATGTAGAGAGTTCTAGCTTTATCCAGCAACAATTCTTTATTAATTAAATGTTTTCAACTATCTAAGTAGCCATCAACAGGACCAAACATTTATGTAAATAGCACTCTTTTAAATTTTAATGTTCTTAGAAGTGTTCTAAATATAAAGTGAAAGTAAATAAACCAAAAATAATATAATATAAAACACAAATGATAAAAATATTAACCAAAAAAATGATGATAATACCATCAAAGAAAAACAGAATTGTTAAATATGTACAATACATAAATAATTAATCCATGATTTTAACCTCATCTCTCTTTAAAAACACACAACTCTTAAAAACAATGAGGGACCAACATACAAGAAAAACTATAAAAATAACCATATGCAAACATAGTATTAAAAATTCATGTAGAAATCATAAGGATGCCACATGCTTATCTGTAGCATGAATGCATAAGACCATTTTAAACCAAGACAAAGATAAAACCATAGACTAATTATTTATGTATTTATTTAACAATTCTGTTTTTCTTTGATGTATTATCTTCATTTTTTAGTTAATATTTTTGTCATTTGTATTTCATTTTATTTTATATTATTTTTGCTTTATTTACTTTCAATTGATATTTAGAACACTTCTAAGAACATTAAAGTTTAAATTTAAAAGAATTCTATTTACATAAATGCTTGATCCTGATGATGGCTACTTAGATAGCCAAAAACATTTGATTAATAAAGAATTGTTGCTGGAATAGGCAAGAACTCTTTACATTTATACTTTTATTCAGTTTAAGAAGCTTTTTAATATACAAAAAAATACTAGCAATTAAAATTTTGTAGTAAAAATATTAAAAATTTATTATGTATTATTCAAAGCTGAGTTTTGATTCACATAGGAATAATTATAGATAGATGCACTTTCTTTTACTGTCAAGGAATAAATGTTTATTATTTTCAATTTTATTAGTTTAATTAAATTTATAAAAATGGTAAATCGAATTACCTGTTCAGCAGCTATCTCCAAAGCTGTTGGTTCTGAAGGTCGTAGATAATGACCTGTAGATCTCCGATTATTTACATCACCTCCATTACGGCCACCTTCTCGACTCCATAAAGATCCAAGATCTTTATTCTTAAAAACAACATATATGGATAACTATTTAAAGTAACTTTAATAATTTAAATGTAAAAGTATAATGAAACTCACATCTCGTGGACTAGTTGGAGAGAGAGATTTTCTATCATTCATTTGGATACTATGTGGAACATATAAAGCTCTAATATCACGTTGAACATCTTGATAAAAAGCAGCTTCCCAAAACTGTTGATTTGACCACACAGCATGATCTTGTATACATGTATAAGCAAATTGTATTACACCAGTACATAGTTTCTAAATAAAAAAAATTAATAGGAGAAATATATAACATGCATGTATTTACATACACACATCAAATTACTAAGTAAAACACGCTCAGGAAAACCTTTAAATATGCAGCCGTATTTATTAAATTCTAACGTTTTCGGTCATATTCAATGACCTTTCTCAAGAAAAACAGAAAAAATCGAACTCCGAACTTGAATTAACGATACAAGCGTTTTGGAACGTTTTTTAAAAANATATGACCGAAAACGTTAGAATTTAATAAATACGGCTGCATATTTAAAGGTTTTCCTGAGCGTGTTTTACTTAGTAAGAAATTGCAGTCTAGGATGAGTTGTAATTGGACATCAAATTACATAACATAATATAAATATAATTAAAGTTTATATGAAAACTCTCTCTCTACTTTTTGAATTTTTATAAAACTTTTAAAAAATTTAGTTATATTTCTTTCTCACCCGACAAAATGCCATAGCCAGTGGAAGAATTGTTGCAGCTACACCATGTTCATCCATACTAGAATCATCCTAAATGTAATGAGATTATTATTATAAATAACATTACATATATTTTTTCTATGATATAAATTAGTCTTAAAAGTATAATATTTTTACTAATAAATAACAACAATAATAATATTTTTTTAAAGAAATAAGCTACAGATCATAAAATAATTAAAATCATTTAATTTAAAATTAATTACATAGATATAAAAATGCAAGAACTTAAATAATGATTCAAACTCTCAAGTACTATAAATGCAGAGTTGCTGTAAAAGATTTAAATAATTATGTAAATAATAAAATACACAAAAACCTATCTTATGCAAAACAACTTTCTAAAACAAAATATTTACTTCAAAGGTAGATTTAAATCTTTTTATAGATACTACTAAATTTAATGTTTCTTGTTTTAGTTATAAAAATTATAGTTAATTATTGTTGATATATATTATCTAATATCAAGAGAAACATTTAATTTTAAATAAATATTTTTTATTTAAGTGATAGAAAATATCAATAAATAATATCAATAGCCTATCATTTAAACAATGTTACAAAAATTAATTATAATAAATTCTTTATTTTTTACCTGAAGAGCACAATTCATAAGTCTAACAACAAGATCAAATTGCTGATGTTCCAACATTGCTTTATTTCCTGTAACATGATTTGCTAATTCTTGAGTTAAAGCTAATCGAGCAGTCTTATTTTTAAGAGCTCTTAATACTGCTGGAAAAGTCTATAATAAAAATCATGAATTAGAAGGTATAAACGCTATTTAAAAATTTGCTGAAAAACTATTTTAATTATATATTTTAAAGCCTACTATAAGGTGTTTTCATTAAAAATAATTTCGTTTAGAGTATATAAATGTTTTCATTTTACAACAATACATTATACAGTATTATCACACAATTATTCAAGATTTTGTCAATACAATTTAAGCTAGTGTTTCTTTAACTGGAAATAAAACATATCTGCAACATAACAACTAGCTTAATTAAGTATTCAGTTTGATAATAAAATGACTTGCCAATTACTTTGATTAATCAGAATTCTGATTCCCATTCACACTGCACAAAATTTCTAAATATTTTCATAAATGCTATTTCATCTTTCTTAACTTTACAAAATCCATTTATGAAAAGAACAAAGATTTTTGAAATTTTCAAAATTTAACAAGCAATTACTTATTATGACATCATCACAATGCCAGGCTGCAATTTTACTCATATTTTCAATTTATTTCATTTAAAATATATGCTCTCCACCTCAAATTAGTACTGTAATGTCTTGCCCTTGTACATCATACTTTTCCATTAGCAGTGGAGTCATGCTGGCCATCTATTAACTGCTTTCAGGGGGAAAAGTTTTTAATTGAAATAACATGACTTCTGGTTTGCATCTGAAGTTCATATACATTTAATAAAGGCCTCCTGCCCCTAAGGTTTTCATATCTGGTCTCATGTTTCATCTAACTCTGTTCTTGAAATTAAGGAAAGACAGACAGATGGACAACAGTGGGAATTTATAGGTCTACAAATTTTTACAAATTGCAGCCCAAAAAATAAATTTATTTCAAATTCAATGTTTTATTTTAAATCAATTTATAATCTTTGCACATTATTTTTCAAATAGCTCATTGAATACAATATTCTTAATAGAAAACTTATTTTCATCTATTTTTGTGAATATTCTAATATTTTTAAAACATTAAACTCTAGACAGAGAGAGTTACTTCACAAAGTATTGTTCACATATTGTCATGCCTGTGCAATGATAACCTGTTTGATCAATTCCTTTCTAGTATATATGATTTGACAAATCTTAGTTCAACCATACTAACATGTTCCAAATTTCAACTTTGATAAAGATATATGTTATGTGTATTTATGTATTTTGGATAATTTTAAGCAAATTAATGTTGAAAGACGTTCATAATAAAGGATAAACATAATTTTTAAAAATTAATCCAAAACTATTGAATAAAGTTTTTTATTTTTGCTGATCTTGAACAATGTTTCTTTTACATACATTTAAATACTGTATAAACTAAACTTTTTGTATTTTTAAAAAGATGTTAAAATTGGACTTGTAGCTCATCTATTATGTAATTCACAGTATTTTTTAAATATTAAACTATTACAAGCATTACTTTAATATAAATGGCAGAAATATTTATTTAAAAAAAAATTAATTTAAACAAAGTACATAATTTGTTTTAAAAAATTTATAATATATGTTTACTGATAAATAATTGAAATTAATCAATAACAATGTGTAATTCTGATTTACAAGCCTACCTTTTTCTAGAAAAATCTCATAAATCAAAATCTTATAAATAAAACAGATTTGCTATTATTTCTTATAGTGAAAACTTATACCTTATTCCAACAAATAAGATTAAAGTGTCAAAAAAATCTATTTATCTATCAATTAATGATTGTAAATGAAATAAAATAAATGAATATGTTGATTAGGTTATTCACCTACATAAAAAAACTAATATGAAATGACAGAAGGCAATAAGACATAAGAGAAGAAAACACGAATTATCAGACATCTCTACATAATACAAAAACAATAGTTCATTAAAAAAAACAAGTAATATAGATCAAAGTAAAATTGCTTTTTAATTAATGAAATTGTATTCACTAATAAAAAGATTTATAACATAACAATTAGCATTACTCGTAATGAATGATGACACATGAATGATGTCAACGAAACAATGAAAATGGAGACAAATCTACAAGCCATGTAAATCAATGTGCAGAAATTTCATTCTCACTGCACTCACAATTAGAATATTTTGCACTTTAAATATTGGTTGCTTTGGTTTCAAATCTCATAAAAGTAATATCTCATAAATGGGGAAGATATAAAAGAAAACAGCTCATTATATTGAACTCCTATATCAAATACTCAAACAGTGGCCACATTATACTAAAAACATTGATACAAATAAAATTTATGTCAATATATTATTGTAAATGTTTAAGAATAACTTAAAGATAATAAATATAAACAAGTACACCATATACAACACATATGAATTAAATAATCATAATAATTTAAATAATTTATGACTTCTAAGAAATGTAGTTGGTAATGATTCTAAATATGATCAATTAAACAAGATTAACCAGAATTATTTAAATATAATTTAAATTTATATAAATTATTTACCTTTATTTATTAAATTCAATATATATTAACTTATTAATCATTCTTATTCTAAAATAAGAATTTAAAAGTTATTTAAACGGTTAATGAAAAAAAGAATGCTAAATTAAATTATTTATCTTTTTAACACATACTTAATAGATATCATTAATATAATTATGTTTTATGCCTTAAAACCTAAAATAAATAAAATTAATAAACTACCTTCCGTGCATCAGAGATTTTATTTTCAAATATACAAGTTACACAATTTCTTAATACTTCTAATCTCCTTGCACTATTTGTCAAACTTCTATTATCTTCAAGTGCAGTGATTGGAATACCCATTGGAACAATATGTGGTTGTTGAGGTTTCATTGCTTGTAATCTAAAAAATTTATTGTCATGTGATAATAAGCATCCAATTATTTAATTTACAAATTAATTACTTTATGAATTAATTTTTTTCTAATTTTTCATAAATAGACAGGGTGTCCAAGAAAGATCTACACTATTATAAAATTTCATTAAAAAATGAAGCATTCCATTGAAATGCAGTTTGTGATAAAAGAAAGATTAATTCAAAGTTTTTATGTTATCTAATAGATAAAACTTATGGTTTACACAAGGGTTGTCAAACCTTTTTTCCTAATGGGCTAAATTAGAAATTTAGGTACAGTACAATCAGTGAGCCACAAAGGTACTTTATATTAATACAGTCGACCTTTCTATAACACTGTTAATTTTTCTGTTTTATATGAATTTTATGTTGTACGATTCACTTAGATTTTACAAATACGTGTACCGGGCTGTGAACGGTTCATGTATTTGTAAAACCTAAGTGACTCGTACAACATGAAATTTTTATAAAACGGAAAAAATCAAAAGTGTTATAGGGGGTCGACTATATATGCTTTTAAAAAGTTCAAAATTTGAATATCAAATTTTAACAACAAATATAAATAATTACAAAAAATACTGTATTATTGACAGTAAAAAAAAAATTATACTCACACAAAAAATAAATTTAATGCAATTTTTGACATTGCCTTCCTTTTATATTAGCACCAATATCTGCTTTTATGGTACTAGTCTTAATTCTAAGAAAGTTAGTTAAATGGGACTCACTCAACCTATTTTTTTTCAGCAGTTTCAATGTTTTTCATGCACAAAAACAATTGTTCAATTGTTTATGAATTAATTTTTGATATGCGATTTTTGTTGAAGTTGTTTGATACAGTGTTTCCTGGATGATGGATTTGCCAGGGAACCAGATTGACAAAAATAATCCTACTGGATTTCTTTTTGTGAAGTTATGTGAAAAACATTGTGTATCAAACACCTGTTCCTAATGTTACTGTTTTAAGAGAAAGCATAGCCCTTGCAATCTACAATGTTACACAGGATATGCTAAACAACATCTGCAGGAAATTAGTTATTGATTGGACATTCTTTATGCAACTAAAAGAGCACATGTTGAGATTCACTGTATGTATGCAAAACAACTTCAGCAATTTTACAGCCTGATGATGTCCAAAGGAATATGGATGAAAAAAATCCACAAAGGAAATTTTTTCTGTATTCTTGGCTTTGTGTAGGCTGATTTAGTACAATTTAACCAGCATTCAGCTGTTGTCTAAAATAACTTCAGCATTTGTATTAACTTTTGTAATAAAAAAAATCATTTTGAGTTAATCTTTCTTTTACCACAAACTGCATTTCAACAGACCATTTCATTTTTTAAAATTAAATTTTATAATAATGTAGATCTTTCCTGGACACCCTGTACTTTTCTGACTTTTATTTACATTTTACATAAATTATATTTATATGTAATTGTTTCTAATATTTTGCTCTGAGTACCCGAGATCTAATCTGGGAATGCAAACAACTCCAGGAATTGTTTCTTGTTTCTTTTGTTCTTTGGAAGTAAGCACAAAATTGCTATGTAGATTTTATCAAACTTTTTGAATGCTTTTTAATGAATAATTTAAACATTAATTTGTAAAAGGAAAATGCATTTTGGCCTATTTGCCCCTCTTCAATACTTTTTGTACAATTTGATAAAACTGAAATAATATTTAATAGTGACAGATGGAATAACTAAGTATCTTAAAAACAAAGGGGGTAAAACTGTAGAACATAAAAGTTAAAACTTACTAAAAAAAATTGTACAATAAGGACTGAAGAGGGGCAAATAGCACAAAATGCATTTCATTTTTACAAATTAAAGGTTACTTTATTCATCAAAAAATGTTCCTGTATGATAAGTCTTACATAGCAATTTTGTGCTTACTTCCAAAGAGCTCCAAGAATTTTTCATGGATGATCTGTCTCAAATATTTAAAGTTTCATTCCATACCGCCCAGCCATTCTCATTGTGAGCCTAGCCAAACCCACAATGATTATGGAAAAATAGCTCTTAGTGCCATAGGGTTGAAAGAGATGAAAAAAAATCTTTTGAAATTCCAATTTTCTGTTAAAAATATTTAATGCAAAACAGTTATATTGATAATTAATATTAAAATTTTATATTATATTGTATTAGTGTTTTACAGTGGCATGCCGTCATTGGAAGCGATGGATGCGCTGCTTCCCTCGTATTTTCTAAAAAATAAATACATATTAATTTTAATTATATGAAAATAATCGCACAATATTTTATCATAACCACATTATGTATCCTATTACAAATTTCTATACTACATGTGAAAAAAAGATAAGATTACTATTGTATATTCAAACATTAGTGGTGGAGTGGAAGCATTGTATTGTCAGCATCCAAAAAGCCAGATTTGCTCATGCGCTTTACAGAGCACCAACCTCACCCAGTTTAGCTGATGGAAGCCTAGGACCTTTGGTGGATGCTACACATATACCGCATCCAATTCTATCCAGAACCGGTTCTGGGCTGTTAGCCGCCTGCCCACTAGGTATTTGGCCGATTACTTGAATAACGAGTAGATTTATAACTTAACCCAACCGATATGAATTTACTGGTATGTTTTTACAATAGTTCTGTATAATTGACAGCAGTTTTTAAAAAATCCATTAAAATATTTGATATATTTATTCCACTCTGATTTTATATTATTCATGGATTTCAATGTTAAACCAGTGATATTACGATTTCGTATATCCCATCTTTATGGGGATGTAGAAAAAAATGTGTACAATTCTTGTACAATGTTAAAAAATTAACTGTTACTTTGACAGCATCATTTTCAACTAAATTTAATGAATGAGAGAGATGCATAATGTACAGAAAAAGCTCTAGAATTTACTTTCCTTAAATTTACGATTTATGTATCCGTTTGTCATAAAAATTTGTCTTTCCACTTTTTTCCCAAGGCTACAAATATTCGAGTACAAAGTAACTGGTTTCGACTTATTTCTATTTAGGAAGTAGTTAAATAATTAAGCGATTAGGGAATTGGAAACATAAACAAAACCCTGATGAAAGAGCTGAAATTTTATTTAAACAAAAGCTTAATTGAACCATCTCTAGCCGAGTACAGTGGAGATTGATTTCTTCATATTATTAATGTAATAAAGACAGAAATTTTTCCAGTTCAATGAGAGTGACTGAAAAGTTGTAAATTTTGGAAATTTCCGTAGACAATACCTGGTCCTAAAACGAATTACTTAGAAAACAAATTACGGACAATCTATTAAGTGTGAGATCTGAAAGGCCCCGGGTCTAAAATAGTAATTTTATTAATAATGTTAAATATTGTCATAAAATATTGTGAGAATCGTGGTTTTAGCATCAAAGCTTAAACCGTTTTCCGACAACGGGGCAGTGAGTCCCACTCACAGGGTCAGTGGATGGCAATTTAGGAGGGCGAAAATCGAGTGGGAGGTCGCGGATAAGTCGACAAGGTGTTGACCGAGTACGAGTAAACACACATATTTAAGATAACATATATATATATTTAATTAACTAATGATATATTTGAAAGGGTTACAATAATTAAAAATACTACTAAACTCTAACCGAGGTTACAATAGGCGGTTTTCCGGCTACATCTCGCATATTTACGATAGAAAATATTCTTTGATCCTTCTTAAAATCTATTTAGGAATTAGCCCTAATCCACCCGAGAGAAGGGAGAGAATTCTACTTACTAATTTGTAGATTGTAGAATCTAACCGTGTTGTCCGTCTTTGGCGGTCAGCGATGGGGATCGTCAATCCGTTATTTCCTTCTAAGTTGGAGGCCACTCCGATACTGGCCGGGAGCCCTCTTTATACTGATTTCGAGGGGGTGAGAACTATGACGTTATTCATGATTTATCCGCACACCTGCTAGTGTGTTGATATTTGGATCTAGCTAGTTCGGACAAATGACTCAGCGAAGTTTGTTTAATTTATTGTTATTGGTGTCAAAATGATATGATTTTATGATATAAATTCCTATAGGTTTGATGGCTCTCATCCATAAATTAACAATCATTTGACAATAATTTCTTTAACCTGGTCAACTATTTAGATATTGTTTATATCAAACGTCGTGTTTGACTATGAACAAGGCGATTTATTGCCGTAACCACGTGTTACGTGCAACCAAGAGGTGATAAGAAATATCTCTTATTCCCTTCTTGTTGATACTAACATCTATAGAATAACTGTTAAACAAATAGAGATGATTTCTCTTATTGATATTTTAACATTTTCCTTTTTTTTTTCTTATACGAGGAGAGCATCTCGGTCATTGACCGCAGAAGTCCCCCTTTTCTCTTTTACTAGGAAAATTCCTAGATTTATACTGATCTAAAACAGAAAAAGGGTTTCGGACCTTCACAATATTATTTAATTTTGGTGAGAAATTAACGTTTTCCAACGTGGGAAAGATAGATAACAGATGCTACTTCCTTCAAGGGAAGTTAGTACATCCCCTGTTTTTCCCTTATCCGCTAAAAATCTCGCTCAGATGGGAACTGTCCACCCCTCTTTGATTCCCCTTTCATCCGTTCACATGAAAGAGTTTCTGGCAGATGATTGGTCATAAATCATGAGATATAGGGAAAATTTATTAGAATTCGGGGAGTTCATCGACAGACCTGGAAGAGTCAGGATTCCACATGTTTTCCTCCTGATGGCTAATGCCCTTAGACAAGTCACATAGAATAAATCCAGAGTTAGCGCTGAGAAGATATACTTTGATTTTGTGCACATATCGATCTCCCATGAAAAGAAGTAAAAGAACTTTATAAACGAAGTGCCTTTGCCAACCGATGAAGAAGACGAACAACAACTAAAACAGGTTGTATGTTTAATAACGATATTGTAAGCTCTCTCTCTCGATCGTGTATCAGTTAAATATAAGTCTATATATCTCTCGACTTATAGGTTGAAATTTGTAGTCATTGTCTCTTACTACAATATATTTGTACTATTTTTATTGATTTATGTTTTAATTAAATTTATTCTTGTTTGTTTGTTAAAGAATGTCTCTGAATCAGATCTATAAAATAATCACACGCGTGTTTGTCCGCGGATCGATTAATTGACAAACTGGTGTCTGGAACCTGACAATTTGGATAGAGACTTCATAGTCTTTAATCCTACCGCCTTCCTATGTAAGTTTTAAGATCAGATCTAGTGATCTGAAACTTTAGAGAAGTAGTCCTACCAACTAGATTGCCTATTAAGTGATACAGTAGTAACAACCTACACTGTACCCCAGGCTGAAGCTCACATAAATTTAACATATTTAGATTTTAACAGCTATGGTGAGAAACATTTAAAATCTACAATAGCCCTGTCGTGTCCTTTGAGATATACTAGTGATGCGACAAAAGAGGCATTTGACATTGACCGGTATCGGCACCCTGGGGATTTGGCAGTCCGCGTGTATGCACGCTTTGCAACCATCTTCGATTCCATCCATTAGCCACTTGTAGGGAGCTATTTGACTAAGTGCATTGTTTTAAGATTTAAAAAGTAAAGAATACTGTATTTTATATTTTTATGTATGTTTCTTTACAAAGCTATATTTAATTATAATTTTGTTTAAAAGTATATTCATACAATTGAAGAATATTTTGTACTAGATATGTACCGGTACATCTACCACACATTTTATTTCACCGAGTAAGTTTTTATTATTTTATTTTTAATTGTAGTCCTTATATCATGGCTAGCGGTTCGGAATGTAATTGTGATATTAAAAATGCATTTAGAGAAGTCTTTGGTTTTTACTGGCTTATCGAATAAACGATATGAATGGACCCTAGACCATCACTGATGCGAAATTGACTGATTGCCCCTGGATGTCGGCTTCTTACAGAAACACAGCTTCCCTATCATCAAATGTCACGGCACGCCACTGGTGTTTTATATTAAAAATATAAGAGGAATAACAACTTGAAAAAATTTTTGTTTAAATTAAATTATAATTGAACTCAGGTATAATTGAAATCAGGTATTGCATAATTTAAGCCAATTACTTTGAAAATGTCTTCACAATTGAGGAGCTTAGTGAAAAATGGCATATCCCATATTAAGTTTTCTAGAAAAAGGAGGTTTGGTGGATGATATGCAATGTGTTATTAACATGGATATACAACCCATAAAGCATGCAACTGAACAATGAAAAGATGAATCAATAATGCACAAATCCAAATTTGTTAACAACTCATTTTTTGTAGTTTTGTAGAATATCCATTTTCCACTAAGCTCCTCAAATTTATAAAATAAAATTTGATATATAATCTCAAAGAGAAATTAGAAATGAAAATTACTTTGTTCTGAGATTATTTTTTGTTAAGCCATCTTCCATTATTTCTTGAACTAATTTACCACATAAAAGAGGAAATGTAGGTTGATGAATTCTAGTAAAAGCTCCTTCAGTAGGTCTTGGTATTTTTTGAACATATGGTTGAGGATTTGGATTTTCCTTAGGAGAGAACAAATATACAATCTTTAAGAGTACATTAAATAGTAATCTATTTACATTAAATCATCCATTTGTTTAAAAATAGATTATAATATTACTGCATCTTACAAATGATTCAAAGACATATTACATCAAAACCTAATTTTTTTCTTTTCTGAATCATTTCAATATAATCTAAATTAAATTTTTTTTTATGAAAGTACATGACACACACATGCACAAAGCACTAAAGAAAAAACAAAAATAAGAAGAATGGAAGTTTATCATAAATAAGAGAATAAATGAATAAAATTCTATAACATATATATAAATTCATAAATCAATTCAATGTAGTAATTTAAAATAAAAATATGAAAAATAAAATTACTATAAATAATAAATTATTTAATTTAATACAAAATATGTTTATCACATTGAATTAATTCAATGCTTTAAATAGATAACTTTAATATATAACTTTTTAAACACTTACATTTAAATACAGTTGATTTGCTAAATCTTCAATATGTTTCAAAGCTAATTCTGGATTTTTTGTTTCTGCTTTCATTACATCTTGCATGCCTGCATAAAGCTAAATAAATAATGTTTTTTGTTATTATTTATTACAATTATATTTAATTCAATGCTGTATATAATTAATTTTTATTAACACAATATTCAAGATATGTTTTACCATACCAATGAAGACAATTTCAAGATTGTTTTGTTACTTATATGTTTTGTCACCATAATATTTTATACATTAGTTGAATATTATAACTTTCTACTTAATATTGTTAACATAATTTAATTTTTGCCCCCTGTAACAAGGTTATATCTCTATTATTTTGAATTTATGCTTTCCCCTTTCATCTCTCATTAAATATCTTATAAATGTCAAGTTGCATGTTGTAATTTTAAATTCTTTACATTTTAATACAAGGCATGTCCAGAAAGTAAGTACCTTTTGGAAAAACTCACATAAAAAATCTTTTTTCAAAACAAAATTTATTTTTACATGAAAAAGCATGTTGGAAACTATTTTTCTACATAGTTACCACCATTGTTCAGACATTTGTCATATCGGGAAACCAACTTGTCTATACCCTCTTCAAAGAAAGATGCCACCAGTGAAGACAGCCACTGCTGAACATTGATTTGTGACAATCTCATGCAAAACAGTTTTTGAAATTTGTGGAAACTCATCAAAGCAATCTTATTGTGAACAGTCTGTTTTCAAGAATTTTCTCATTCACTTCTGCAACCAAATCATCGTTGACAACAGAAGGCCGGCCACTCCGTGTTTCATCATAAACATTGGTGCGTCCAGCATTGGATTGTCGAACCCACTTTCTCACAATTCCATCACTCATTACATTTTCACCATAAATCTCTACAAGTTGACAACGAATTTCAACTGGCTTAACATTCTTTGTGTTCAAAACCCGTATTACAGAACGCACTTCACAGTCGGCAGGATCGGCAATCGTCTTAAACATTTTGAACGCTCGCTAACACATGGAAAAACATCAACCAGAGACACGTGTGCACAGGTGCCGAACTGCGATACTACCGCTGCGGTGGCAGTAAAACGAAACGGTACTTACTTTCCGGACACGCCTCATATTATACTATGCAATTCTTTTATTAAATACTTTACAAATCCAAAGTTGTATATGTAATAATTACAAAGTTTTGAAATAAATAATCTATATAATTATTTTATTAATTACTTATTAACTACTATAATAATTAATTACTTATATTATATAATTACTTATTAATTAATTTACAATATTCAATTAAAAACACAAACTTTAAGCAACAAACTCCAGAAAAATTTTAATAAACAAAAATTTTGATCCCTTTGATGGATCTGCTTCAGTTACTTACAATGTATTAAAAAAATGAATGCATTTGAATATCTGGTCAATTCAAAAATTAAAACCATAAAATAAAAGAACATATAACAGTTACACATTCAATCACAAACTGAAAATCATAAAATGCAAGATCATGATTTACAGTCAACCCCCTATAACACTGTTGATTATTCCGTTTTATATGAATTCCATGTTGTATGAGTCACTTAGATTTTACAAATATGTGATCCGTTCAGAGCCCTGCATACGTATTTGTAAAATCTAAGTGACTCGTACAACATGGAATTCATATAAAATGGAATAATCAACAGTGTTATGGGGGTTGACTGTATATACAAATTGGATAAACTTTATAAACAAAAATAAAATAATTCTGCAACTACTGCAACTAGCATGGGCTGAATGCATTTGTTCTTTATATATATTTAAGCAACTGAAGATGATCAGTAAAGAGATCAGAAATGTTTTTGTTTATTAAAATTTTGCTGGATTTACTTAAGGTGTAAGTTTTTAATTAACTTAATACTCTAGTTGTGGTTACAGTGTTTGACAAGGGTTCTATTTCTGATATTAAAGTGTGTGATTCTAAACCAATTTATTATGGGAAATTCAAATCTGGAAACAGAATTTCGTTGTCAGGGATACTTTTTGTGTAATGTGTATATATTTATGTATATTCACAGTTCATGGCAAACACAGGGATGTTATACAGAGATATGTACAGTATATGTTGCCGCATGCAGTAGTGATCGAATGTGACAATGACGTTGCTGGCCTAATGAAGGTGCTGAACTTCATCTACAGTTCACAGGAGTGGAGACTTTTCATAGATGTATCGAAAACAAGTCTCAAGGATGTTTTGCTCCACAATGGAAATAAAATTCTCTCTGTTCCAGTTGCTTACACCAACTTGACTAAAGAGAATTACAAATTCTTATGAAAGATGCTAAATTCATTACAATACAATGAATACAAATCGAAAATATGTGGAGATTTCAAAGTAATTGTTATGACATTGGGAATGCAACAAGGCTACACGAAGTATGCATGTTTTCTTTGCGAGTGGGATAGTCATGACAGAAATTCTAACTACGTGTAAAAGAAATAGCCTAAGCGGAGGTGGAAAGTGGGCAAAAAGAATGTGCAACATGAAAGTCTGGTAGCTCCTGAAGATATACTACTTCCATCGCTTTACATCAAACTTGGCCTAATGAAACAATTCGTAAAGGCCATGGATCCAACAGGCACAAAGCCTGTTGGATCCATATGGAGCCAAGTGGATTTGCATATCTAGCTGACAAATTCTCCCATCTTTCAGCTGCAAAAATAAAGGAAGGTGTATGTATGGGCCTGCAAATCAAGGAGCTGCAGAAAGATGCAAATTTTGAAGCATGTTTAACCGCCAAAGAAAAAACAGAGCATGGGAGTGTTTCAAGATGGTATCAGAAAACTTCCTCAGAAGAAGAACTACAAAGCAATGGTGAATGACATGATCAAAGCATATCAAGATCTGGGGTGCAATATGTCTATGAAGGTACAGTACATATGATGGACTCATCTGAACTACTTCACAGAGTTGTAGTGACGTATTGAATGAACATGGCAAAAGATTCGATAAAGACATTTCTACTATAGAAAGGCATTATGAAGAGAAGTGGATACCTTCTATTTTAGCAGATTATTGCTGGAATATCATTCGAGAGAAGAAAGGTTGTCAATACAAGAGAAAAAGTGATGTGCATTACTATATGGTGGCTCATTTTTTGTCACTTTTCTGTAATTGCTCATGTGAAATAAATGCTACAAAGCGAATACACTAAGATTACTGTGTTATATGCTAGATCCCAACCTCCCTTAATGTGATGAACTTAATAACATCATAAAAACGCTGATTTTTTTCTTGAATTTCAGCTAATGTGTCCTGCACTATATCAAAAACATAAAGAAAAAATAAAATTGTGATTACTCATAAACTATCCCTGACAGAAATAAATTAAAAACAGGTTTGAATTCAGTGCTCGAAGTACAACTAGGCCCACAATGCATTTTTTCAGAAATAGAAAAAAGTGTTTTTTTGCAGAACAGTGTTATTTTTATAATATTCAGATTAAATAAAGATTCTATTTATCAATCTCTTAATAAAATCATATTAAATTTTCTATAATGATGAATGAATTCATATAAAACTTAGTCATGCATCCAATTAATCAAACTGTTCTTTATATATAAACAATAAATATGAAATAAATTTAAATTTAACATAGAAAGTAGCTTCACAATGAAACATATTTAAGGTATTTTCAGTCATTTTACAAAAATTGAAAAATTTGAATAGTAGATTTTATTTTAGGCATATTTTTGAAATTTAAATATCAAATAGAATTGTTTACGTAATATGCAAATAAATTAAAAATACATTGATAATTTAAGAATTTCTAAATAATAAAGTAATTATAATTTTATTATGATACTTCAACATAATTATTTGCAGAAATTATTTTAAACTCAAGAGTACACAAGGCTGTAATCTCTAACATATATATGAATGGTATTGTTAAAGAATGGAGAAAAATAGCCAATGCTGGCATATATGCTAACAATATATTAAAAACAGGTACTTTATATTGATGACCAAGACCTAATAAATGAAAATAAATATTTTTTATAAATGGCACATCAGAAGTAAAATTTGCATTAGTAACAAGTGTATTAAACAAATCAACACTTTTAAATGCTTAAGATATATCAACTATTGTACAAAAACAAAAATACATGCAACAAAAAATTAACAACTATATTGGTATTGTCAGAACATTAAACCATATTTTCAAAACCCAGTCTGCTCCACAAAAAGACAAGATCCATATTATACTTGCCAGATTAATTCTCATCCTCTATTCACATGCATGGATATTGAACCAATAAAGACAAATTTTTAGATGTGTTTCATGTACAAAACAGCAAATTGTACAAGAAAAATCAACAAAAAAGAAAGTTTGAAGGAACTTAGAGTATCATCTTTATTGGACTGTACTGAAGAATATAGAAATTTATAAATCCAACACATATATAGAATAGGTACAGGCAGATAATCGAAAGGAATTTTAAATTGTAAACCTCATGATCAAAGAAATAAAGACAAACCCCTGAGAAGATGAAAGGAAATTAATAAGTCCTAAGACATAATACTAGTTAGGGTAATGATATATTTGATATTACATACCTCCGAAACCTTTAACCGATGTGAATAAATTTAACATTACTAACGTTTTCAGACCCCTCCTGGGTCCTTCTACAGGTAAAAATCGTCAAACTAACCATTCGTTTCGAAAGAATTTTTCAAAACATCGAACAATAGAACGGCATCACGTGTTCCATATTCCCAAACGTAAAAGTTTCCACGTCATAGCGGAGGCAATTGAAAATATTTTTCTTTTTATTTTTTATATAATTACTGTTGTAAGATCTTTTATGTTAAGCAAAAAACACATTATATGCATACTGTCTACCCTTTCGTCCTCCTTGCTTAAGTTTACGACTTCCTTAATCTTCCTGTTGCATTAGGGCTTGCCAAGCCAAAGATAGAGAGATTTCATCCTTGGAATTAATGGGTGATGAATCGTTATATGCCCTGTATATCTTATCTGCTCTAACCACTTGAGATGGTCTGCATGTGGGGGTGGTGGTGATTAACTTGGCATTTGAGAAGTCTGCTACGATCTCTGGATCAGACGCATAAGTGGATAAGGATGTGGAATTAATAATGGATGTGTCAACTTAATAAATGTTCCACATCCTTATCCACTTACGCGTCTGATCCAGAGATCGTAGCAGACTTCTCAAATGCCAAGTTAATCACCACCACCCCACATGCAGACCATCTCAAGTGGTTAGAGCAGATAAGATATACAGGGCATATAACGATTCATCACCCATTAATTCCAAGGATGAAATCTCTCTATCTTTGGCTTGGCAAGCCCTAATGCAACAGGAAGATTAAGGAAGTCGTAAACTTAAGCAAGGAGGACGAAAGGGTAGACAGTATGCATATAATGTGTTTTTTGCTTAACATCAAAGATCTTACAACAGTAATTATATAAAAAATAAAAAGAAAAATATTTTCAATTGCCTCCGCTATGACGTGGAAACTTTTACGTTTGGGAATATGGAACACGTGATGCCGTTCTATCGTTCGATGTTTTGAAAAATTCTTTCGAAACGAATGGTTAGTTTGACGATTTTTACCTGTAGAAGGACCCAGGAGGGGTCTGAAAACGTTAGTAATGTTAAATTTATTCACATCGGTTAAAGGTTTCGGAGGTATGTAATATTTAGTAAACTCTGGTGTGTAGTTGTACGTTATTATTAATATGATATATTTGATATTTGTGAATATGTCCATTTTATTATATTTTAAATATTTTAAATTGATATATAAAAAAACTTTTTCTTACCTCATCAAAAATATCACAGACTCGATATGGGGGCCCTCTTTCAGAAACGAAAGTGTTAAAAAACATACAGTCAAGCACCTTTGTAACAAATTCGCTATCTGTTAGACCCCTCTGACCTAAAAAAGCTGCCTGTAAATAAATAATGTATAATTTAAATAGTAATAAAAAAAATTCTATTTTTTTACTGAAAATAATATCTAATAATAAAAATACATTACATAAAAATATTCAAGTACAACAATTTAATGTTAGTTACAGTACTACTAACATTATAATGCTGTACTTAAATGTTTCTAAGCAATGTACTTTTATGAAAGTACTTTCAATAAATTATTACGAAACAAAAGTTATTGCTATTACTAATAAATCAAATGAACAAAATTTATTTAATATAACCAAATTTTATTACTATAAATCAGACTTTTAGTTGCTTTATTGGTATTACATTCAAATTCCTCAATTATTCTATTATCCCATATTTTTGAAAAATATTTAATAATAAACACTTAAACAGAAGGCTTCGCGGGACAACTTCTCTCAGAGGATTATTCAACTCATTCACAGCAATGACGGAGCCATCCTTGTGAAAATCCCTTTAGTCCATTACATCAGGAACTGGACTAACAGCCATAACATCCCCACCAACAACCACACGACCCAAAACCCAATGCCCTCCGATGCCACCGTCTTCAACATGCACATTGATGACCTTCCATTCCAGGACTCCTCCCTTCCGGACCCAGTGATTCAATCCACCTTTTACGAGTGGGCAACGGTACAAGATCTCTCTACTTTCCTGGCCACCGACGGCTCCAAAACTGACACAACTGTCACGGCAGTGTTCGTCGACTACACCACCAACACTAAAGCCCATTACACTCTACACCATGAGGCCACCATTTTCACAGTGGAGGGTTTCGCTATTCTTCGCGCGCTACAACATGCTACTGAGACTAATAGCAACATCACTTTGTGCACAGTCTCCAAAGCTATCCTCACCGCCATCAATGCCCATCACGATAAGTCTTCTTCCATCATCCACATCATCATAAGCCTCATCAACAGACGTAACAAAGACAAACTACAGATGCGTCTCGTTTAAACCCCAGCTCATAAAGGGATAACCGTAAACGAACAAGCGGACAAACTTGTTAAGAGTCAGCCGTACGACACCAAGAAAACCCATTATATTACTCCGGAGGATTACATCAGCATTATAAACAACAAAATCAAACAGCAAATGGACAACAAATGGTATAACTTTCCCAACCACACAGACTATCAATGGCTCATCACCGGCAGACACATCCCCATCATGGACTATACGAATTGTTACACTACTATCCTGATACATCGAGCCAGGACTAATTCCCTCATCACTAACTCCTTCCTCCATAAACGTAACTTGAAAAATACTGATCGCTGCACCTTCTGCCCGACAGAGCAGGATACAACGATACATCGGTTGGATAACTATCATCAATTTGAACCTGTTAGGAAAAAAATTCTAAACAATAACAATATCATTCGTCACAAAATCTTCAAGATAAGCGATTGCCTTAAATTCACGCCCATCGAGATTTGTATACAAAGTATGATCACCTTTTTCACAGTCTACAAGCAGACCTATAATTACTGAGGAAAACATTACTTTCGCCATCTCTCACCACCACAGGGAACAATAGTCTGTGTAACTCAAGCCCAACGACTACGATAATACAATACAATAAACACTTAAACTAATGCTTAAGATTTAACTGATGAAAAAAATTTAATAGTTTGTAAGAACTGTTTGCAAATATATATTTCTGATCTTAATAAATTATATAAAAATACAGTAAGACCCCGCTTAATGTGGGGGATGCATTCCTAGATGACAAAGCGCTAAATCAGGGGTGTCCAACCCACAGCCCATGGGCCGCATGCGGCCAAAGGCAAGTTCCAATGTGGCCCAATAAACGTGTAAACAAAACTGAAAAATTTTAAATTTCTGTGTAAATAATTTATTTAATTCATGGCATAAACTCAAAAAAGAAGTTTCACAAAGCCGTAAACCTTTATTCATATTTTATTTTTGAGTTGAAAGGAAATATTTTCAAATACTTAAAGACGTATGAACAAGGAAGGATTACTAAATAAAGCTGGAGTTGTGACTCAAAGGATTATAGCCCCAAATTTGGAGAAAGGAGGGAAAAGAGAGAAAGGAAAAAAGATAAAAAGTAGTGAGAAAGGTTAAATAGATCTTCTGTTAAGCAAATATTAACCCTTAATTTTCTAACCTTCCTCATTTCTTTATCTTTTGTCCTTTCTCTCCTTTCCCTGCATTTGGGTCTATAATCCTTTAAGTCACAACTTCAGATTTATTTAGTATTCTTCCAACGTTGCAAGATTTGGCTACATATTATTTATAAATATATTAGTTGAATAAAAATGCACTTTAAAATGGTGTTTCGTCGCTTTTTATTAATTAGAGACTCAAATAAAACAAATATTTGTGTTTTTCAAATAAATTTTCATTTGTCTCTTTTATAATAAATGAATTTATCTATTTCTAAGTTTCAATTTATCAGTACACCTTTATTCTCCTAGTTCATTGATTGAAAAACACTTTCTAATACATTTGTAAAAAGTTTTGGGGAGATAGTATCACCCTTTTAAGAACGTTGGTAACTTGAAGCAAGCGAACTTTTGCGCTTGTCTCTTCATGCCTCTTGCCCAAAATGGAGACCCATTTTGGGCAAGAGGCATGACCCATCTTCGATTTGCTGACGATGTAACCATCATTACAGATAGCCCTTCAGAGATCCAGGACATGATTCAAGAGCTTGCAAACAAAAGTAAAGAAGTTGGTTTAAAGATGAACTTGAACAAAACGAAAATACTGTACAACGTACAACGAAAATACTGTACAAAAAAACGAAAGTACAACAGTTTTGTATGTGAAGAAACACTACTAGTAGATAACATGGAATTGGAAAAGGTAGATGCTTACATTTACCTGGGACAAAGAATATCAATCGATGGCAACATCAAGGAGATAATAAACAGATGTGTAAAACTTGACTGGAGTGCTTTTGGTAGGAATAGTATAGTCTTGAAAAATCAACAGATGCCCCTGTGCCTGAAATGCAAGGTTTTTGATCAGTGTGTCTTGCCAGTTCTCACTTATGAATCAGAAACTTGGACTCTTAGAAAATCAGAGATCCAAAGATTACAGACTATCCAAAGGAACATGGAAAGGTGTATGCTTGGCATAACAAGGAGAGATCAGAAACGTATAACGTGGATCAGGAAAATGACAGGAGTTACCGATATCATCGCTAGAGTAAAATCCCTCAAGTGGCAGTGGACTGGATATATTGCAAGAAGAGCCGACCATCGCTGGACATCTAAAGTTCTTGATTAGATAACAAGAGATCGAAAACGACCAAGAAAACATCCTCACACTCGGTGGGTTGATGAGATCAAGAGGAATCTTGGCACAACATGGAAGCGAAGTGCTCAAAACAAAAGATTCTGGAAGAGGCTTGGGGAGACCTTCATTTTGCAGTGGATTGATAACGGTTGATGATGATGATTTATTTCTACGTAAAAATTGAAAGTTTCAGTAAAAGTAATTTTTTAAAATATCCTTTTTCGTAATAAAGTTTTAATATTTATTATTATAATCTAGACATGTTAATCCTTAAATATACTTGTATATTGGGCTACAAGTANTTTCTACGTAAAAATTGAAAGTTTCAGTAAAAGTAATTTTTTAAAATATCCTTTTTCGTAATAAAGTTTTAATATTTATTATTATAATCTAGACATGTTAATCCTTAAATATACTTGTATATTGGGCTACAAGTATATATTATATATACTTGTGGCCCAAAACTCCTTCACTTCATCAATGCGGCCCAGATAAACAAAAAGGTTGGACACCCCTGTGCTAAATGAAACAGTGTTAAACAAGGTCATTTTAACATAGAGTAAATAGGGATAGGAAAACACATGACCAAACATAAATAAATTTTACTTTAAGTTATTTTTATATTGATTTGCATAATAATATATGTTAAATATATGCACACAAAAATGTAAAGTTCGTTTTTTGTGACGAAGGTCCTGGCTCTTCTGAAATTCGTGTTTTTTTGTGATAAAGTCGTGTAGTTTTCATTTGTTGCTTTATTTCTTTTGTTAAGCAAATGTTGGCAGCAGGAGATCACATCCAAAATGCGTTGTCTTACTTTTGCACTCCTTTCAAAATCTGAATCATTTACTACAATTTGATCAATGATTTCAGTTATTGTTACCAAATTTTTACTAAGGAAATCTATAGTGAAATTCTTTGGGTTCTTTGTTTTCAGAATCTGTTTTCCAGTTCTACATGAATTCCTTGTTCTGCCAGTTCTTGAAGGTCATCGTTGGTAAGACTGTCACCAGAAACTGCAGTAACTCCTCAATATCCAGCTCGTCTATATCTCCTAGTCTTGCTATATCAATTAGGTTGAGTTTGGTCAACCTAACAATACAGCAATAGGCTTTTCTCATTGAGAATTCTTGGATACCTTCAGCCCTAACTTCTTTCACACTTTGTTCATGCATTTATCAGTTAATTCTTGCCAAGCAAATCCAATATTGCCTATGGCATCCATGATGTTATATTTTTTTCCAAAACTGCAAACAAACAAACATAGATTTAAAGAAAGTACAACACCTTTTTGCCACCTTTTTCTGATTGGTTTGTGTTCGCAAATAATCATATTATATACGAATCAATGGAATGCAACGATAATTTAAATCAGCATAAATTTTGAGCTTTTTTTAGGCTTCGAACAGACCGCATTATATCGAATCAGCATTAAGTGGGATCTTATTGTATATAAAAAAGATATTTCTTATCATATCTTTATAGAAAACAATGCACATATTGCAGATAACCATGAAAAGACAGAACAGTTTACCAAATAAATTTTGCGAAGTTCTTAGATAAATTTAGCAAGTTAGACCTTAAAAGACAAATGCTAAAGAATCCCAAAAATCTTCAAAATATCTGGCTTGAATTCCTACAAGATTAATAAGATACAAAAACTAAAATCCATTAATAAGATACAAAAACTAAAATCCATTCATAAGATACAAAAACTTTTTCCAATACTGCTTTATGTAAAAAACTTTTTTTGGAAAATACAGTAATTTGGTTTATTCATTTGAAATTAAGGCAATAAAGACTTAATCCAATGAAAAAATGTATATTTTGATTTTGAATATTAAATTTTTATTTTCTTGTAAAAGGAGTTCAAACTAAACAATTTTATTTTCTTATATCATGTTCAAATACTTTCAGTCACGGATTGTATAACTTTATACTAATTAGTATTAACAGCTTTAGTTAATTTTATAATATAATTTTTTTACCAATTTACTTCATATTATAGTAATGGTTTTTAAGAAATTCAAATGAAATGTTTTAACTTTAAAATCTATAAACCTTACTATTATTTTTTTGACATTAAACAAAAGAAAATACTGCTAAATTTAGGCTACCAAATACCATTTATTCAAAATATTTTTAATTAGAATTTGGTAAGCATCAGCTTAAATGAGAATAATGAAAAAGTTGTACATACAAATTAAATTCTGTACAGAATTAAATAAAATAAAAATTTTAAATATAAAATTACAATATATATAACTATTTTAAAATAATATATTTTTTTACCTTCTTCCAAATTTTAACAAGCTCTTAATTTATTTATCTTTTTAAAGATAATTAGTAATTAATTTAACCCTTTAAAATCAACATCCCGAAAAACCTCGGGCAAGTTCCATAGAGTTTCATAAAACTCGGTACTTTCGGCCCTTTCCCAAAATTTTTTTTTTTTTTGAATTTTTAAAATGTTTTTTAGGTCCCCAAATTTTTTCAGAATTTTTTGTCCGCGCGAAAAAATTTTATCGCGATTTTAATGAGCCTTTGTTAAGGCTCAATTGTTTTTCAATGGGAGTTTTTTATCAAATTTATTTCATGGTTCCTAAGTTGTAGCGCACGGATTTTTTTTCGGTAAAGTTATTAAAAGCTGCTTTTTGATGTCAAAAACGACCTCCGATAGTTTTTTAATTTTTTTAATTAATATATTTTATTTTATATTAATTTAATTAATTAGGGGGGTCGGAAATCGCAATTAAAATTTCAATTTTTTAAAAACATTTAAAAATATACGATTAATTCACCTTCACCCTACTTTAAACCCTTGTCCTCCCGAGACGTTTATGAGAATGCCCCGGGAAATCCGACTCCAGCTGTGTTCAAGGTCACCCAGCTGTGTAAACAATAACTCATCGGTGTTATATTTCACAGAAAGACGAGACAAAGGAAAATAAAGTTTGAAGCTTTTTCTTCAAAATTAACGCATTTTTTTCGTTTTTTTTCAGTTTAAAGTATTTTTTATGTTTAATTAAACATTAGCATTAAAAATTACAGTGTACGCTCCGGCGTATTTTTACGCCGGTGGTAAAGAAAGGGTTAAAATGTTGGGGACTCTAGTAAAGCAATTTTATTGATTTTTTAGTGTTTTTAATTTTCTGCTTCAGTTCAACTTAATAAAAGAAAACAATATATAAGATCAGATTAAAATGAAATGTAGAAATATTTTTGATCATATAGAGAATTTCTCTTGATCAACAATCAACACAAAAACCCATAATCTAGGCATATGTTATCTGGAAATGATACAAACATTAGTAAAATTAAAAAATCATGATACTTTATTTAATACGTAAATAGTCATAATTGTAAAGTTATACTGAATGCTTTTTATAAATATATATAGTATATATTTGGATAAAAAATGATTACATAAAAAAAAATACCATACACAAGTAAGACAAATGACTTTCAAAGAAAGAATACTTTACACAATGAAGAATCTTATGATATAATTTAAAATTATTTTAAATTTTCAATTAAAATTTCTGCTTTCACTTCTTTAACAATAGTTACAGAAATTTATGAATTCTATATAAAAGAAACATATTTTAATATAACTACAGCTTTTTAATAGTGTTTGTATAGTTGTATACAAAAAATGAGAATATTTATTTCAAAATTTGACAAAAAAAATTTTCAATATGTTAAAAAATATTAGACAACTGAGTCACAGTAACCTCAAATAAAAGAATCATAATAATATGAGTAAGGCCATGGTTCATTGAGTTTTAGCAATGTAAAGGAGTGCTTCCTTGCAGAATTCATGAGATAAAAAAATTAAATTTTCTTGTCTCATGAATTCTGCAAAACAGCACTTTTGTACATTCTGAATTATGTGTAAATACAGGCAAACTGTTAAGTTCTCAGCGTGACTTACTTAACAGTATTTTTGATGGAAACAAATAATGCAACATGACAGATTAAATTAAATCTTTGATAACTTTACCACAATGAATGATACAGTCGGCTCCCCTATAACACAGGTTCCTATAGTTCGGATTCCTATATCATGGCGAAAAAATTGCGACAGTATTCGTACAAACATGCTACAAAAACTCCTATAATTCAGTAAAACGTCATTGCCGACTCGTGTCGTGACGGGATTGGTCGAATCTAGACCAATAGCGGATATTGCACAAACCGTTGACTTTAAACGAGCAGCGGACCTACTAAAAACCATTTATTATTTAACGTCCATAAAAATTATATTTATATTAATGATGTCTCCAAAGTTCAGTGAATTTTTCGCCAAAAAAATAATTTATCAGGAAGCACGCAAGCCGCATTCGATGACAAGCTCCACGACGAAAACAAGCTTAAGGAATGGCGTAGTCGAACGGTGCACACTTGGTAAGTAATCCTACAATTTTTTATTTATAGCATAGTTTATATGGATTATTCCCAAAAATTTATACATATTTTGGAAATGTTGAGTCGAATTAGTCTAGAATCTATTAATTTTATGGAAGAAAACCTTTCAAACAGCCATAGTCCGTAAACTGCATACGTGCTGGGCTGTGATTGGCTGGACTCGTAGAAAATGGATTCATAAAAGCCGGAATGTATCTACCATGTTATGGGGGGGGTCGACTGTATTTTGTACTGTTTTGTTCAGACAGAGTTGAAGGACAAAACAGCAGAAAGCATGGTCTGATTCAACAAAACAAAGTTGGCACATACTGCTGAGAAAATAGGATCAAACTGAGCAAACTAAAGTTCAAATGAGTCCAACATCAACTCTATTCCCAATTTAGCTTGTCAAATTATCATCTCTCCTCCATCTGAAAAAATATCTGAAAGGAAAACATACAGGCTATGGAAGAATGGTAAAAAACCAAAGTTCCAAATTTTTTTAATGAAATAAAAATTTTGGAACACTGCTGCATGAAATGCATTGCGACCAAACAAGAATAAGTGTATTGAATAAATTAAAATTTGCTTCTTTGTTAGGCTGAGAACTCATCAATCTGCCCACATATATACCTTGTTTCTTGTATTAATGTTATCACTCTGACTAATTCTGATATTTCTTAAAATATTGAAAATTTATCAACAGCTAACATTCCTATTTTTAATATAAACATCCATTTTTATTATCCTTTAAAATTCATTTTAAAGGATATTAATTCATATTTAAACATTTATATAAGCATATATCAACTAATTAATAAATAGGAATAACTACCTTATGAAAAGTAATAAATGGTTTTGGATGTATACGTATAATAGTAAGACAGGAACGGTATCCTTGTAATAATTGTGCGAATATACGTAAAAAAACAGCACGTATTTCTTTATCCTGTAAAAAATGGAAAAAATTAAGGATGAAAACTTTTAAAAGTATATATTGAAATATTTGGAAAGTTCTTAAAAAATAATATATATTCTAAATAAATCCAACATTTTTTTGAATATGTAATTATTCAGTTCATATTCAAATCAAAAGTTTTATTAATTAAATGCAATAATGCAGAAAAATGACCAAGTTTAAATTTAACTTATTAAATAATCTAATAATTGGAATAATATGGCCTGTAGATATTAACAGATAATAAATTATCTTTTAAATTTTTAAATTTTAAATCTGGTAAAAATAAGTAATTATTAAATTTGTTAATAATCTAAAAATAATCTAAATTTAGTTAGAAAATCAAGAAATAACTTAATTCTGATATATAAATGATCTTTTAATTTATATCACTCAATAATAATAATAATAATAACTCTCCTGTGGTCACCACCTGGTCGTGGTGGTAGAGCCTAGTAATTTTACTGAACCATAGAGCAATGCAGGCTGGAGCACAAACTCCTGAAGCTGAAACTCCTAGGAGCAATGCAGGCTGGAGCTGAAACTCCTAGGGACACCCATGCCAGTAAGGTCTATGGGGAGAAATGAAGCTAAGAGTGACCACACCCACATTCTGTGGAGATAATTATTATGGTAGTAACCAGATCAAAGTGTGATACCAGCTCGGACGTTGCCCGTGTTAACAAGGTCCGCATTCATGGGTTAGACAGAGGCTCACATTTGAAAAATCGGCCACAGTCTCCCTTGGTTACCAGTGGTAAAAGCAGCGCTGGCCCAAGCATGGCTACTGCAATGCCCTCAACAGATGTGAGGAATCAACCTAGCTTTGGTGTTTCTGTGGCAATGCATCCACAGACCACAAAGGCTGGAAAACCACGCCAACAAATGAAATGGACAACAGAAATGAACGAGTTTATCATCCGTACTTACTACACCATCACAAGACTCGAAACAACAACTACAGCATACAGACAACAACTACACCATAGATTCACACAACAATGTCCTCACCTCACTGTCACCAAACAAAGGGTTGTTGATCAAAAAAGAACAATTATACACGACCACCTTATCCCACAACCAACACTTGAACTTATCAAACAACAGGTTGCTGATCAAATACATAAACAGACAAAAACATTTAACATTAATGAAGATCACGTAACCTGTCAGGATAATCCAGCAACAAGCATTGATAATAGCACACATACAACAACTACCATTAATGTTACTATAGACACTTCCTCATCCATCACTGATAACATAGATATAGATTTAGTTAATACACTCTCACTTATATTTCAGGAAACACTCACTAAATATACAAGCACAGATCCCACATAAAGACCACAAATACTGAAAATCAACATGTCAAAGGTAGTAGGAAAAACACTAAATTATGTAAACACTTACTTACTACCAAACTACATTCATTCAATTTCTACATTTTCAGACATTCATACATTAGTTTATGCTGGGGCAGTCACAGTAGTAACAGGCCATTGACTCAAAACACAATTGCAGACAAACACACACAAAACATAATTCTATCACAAGCCTGCCTGGCAGAGAAGAATAGAAACACAAATAAATGACATTAGACAGCAATTAGGCAGGCTGACACAATACACTAAAAACAATGTAACACCCAAATTAAACAAACAACTCAAAAACATTTTCAAGAACATTTTAAGTTTACTAATTACCAATATAACAGGCTGACAAACTTTCTGCTGTGAAGAAGGAAATGCATCATCAGCAATCATTAATTCTGGCCTTAATATCTGAAACAAAAAAATTTTAATTGCCATTCACTGATAAAATATTTATTTAAATCAACCAAATTCATTTAAGAATTAGTATCATTAAAATCACTTTAGATTGTTTACATTTTATTAACAACAGTTATTTTGAGAATAAACATTAAATTACTAATTTATGTTTATTCTAAAGATAAGTGTTAGTAATTATTGAAGTGTAACACAAATGTTGTCAAACTCCAACAACCAATTAATATTTTAAATAGTAAATTGTTACTAATAATGAAATCAATAAAATTTTGAATATTAAAATATCAAATTTTTGTCTGATTAATTTTCTATCATTTAAAGAAAATGGAACAATTATAAATTTATAAAAGTAACTTAAATAGCTTTTTTATTTTTAAATGTTTTTATATACCATGTGTTTAAAATTCCTATTTTAAAACATTAATGCTTTACTATAAATATTTTTAAAATGACACTGAACATACTATAAAAAGACATCTGTAATGCTACTGTGACCATTGGGTCTGTATCTCTTTGATACCACGTCAGGATGACAACACTGTATCTTTAGATCGATACAGAGACCACAAGTAATACACATAAATAATTTACATTATTTAATCATCAACTTTAATAATAAACTTACCATACAAAGATGAGAATAGAGCTGAGAATGTAAGGGCTCTGGAAGCAATGGTATAGTTACACATTCAGGAATATTAATAGAACCCCCATCCAAGTCAACTGTTATTACATCCAACTAAATTTATGTAAAGAAAATAAAACTAAAATTTAATACAAGTTAAAAAAAAGCAATAAGATTATATAAATTAAACATTTATTGTTATCAATTCTGACAAAATGCATACATTTTAGTTATAAAATAAATATGAAATTATTAAAAATCAATACACTTAAGTTACAGAACATTATTATAATTGAGAAATGTTTTAAACTATTTAAGCTTAATTTTGGAGTAAATTCTTAAACATTAATTGTAGACAAATGATTCTAAATAAAAATGTTATTCTTTTTCAGAATTAATTATTACAACCATACTAGGAACACTGTGCCTTTGTTGTACAAAATTAGTAATTACAAAAGTATTGTGATTAATTACAACAATGATAATAATATGACTATTGTTGACGAAAATGAAAATGTTTTAAAAAAAAACAAAAATGTTATATATATAATATAATATTGAAATAACAAAACAATTTCATTATTGTAAATATTCAGGTCAATAAATGTACATTTTAGTTACTAAGACCCATTATTTTTATCACCCTCTCCCAACCCAATCTCACCAATCTCCTACCCATTTAAAACCTAAGCAATGCTAGGCACATGTAGCTATTTTTCAATTCCTTAAAAATTACTGAAAAAAGTACAACCAACTCTTATTCATCTAAAGCCCATCTCCTTGAAAGCCTGAGCAATGCTAAGCACATGCAGCAAGTTTAATATATTTTACATTACAGATATTGATATTGATTGATTATTTATTAAAAAACTAATTATTATTGTTCATTATAACCTTTCAATATTAAATACAGATTTTCACTTAACAATACCTACATAAAAATACAGTAGAGCATCGTTTATCCAAATCAATTGGGGACTGGGGTTGTTCGGATAACTTATTTTTCGGATAACCGATTATGTACAAAAAATATATTAACCTATCCCATGTTGAAATTTTTCTCCGTTGAGTGTCGCTTTACGTTGAATTTTCATCAATGTTAAGCCTAACATAAACTTTTTAAAATAATAATTGTGGCATTTGTATCGTTAAAAATTATTTCTTTATTTTTTGCAAACAAAATAAATATATTGAAAAATATAAAAACAAAAAAAACTATACTTTAGAAGTTAATCTAGTATCAAAAACGTTCGATTTAGCATGACACATGTCCAGACACACAGTCCTCAGAAAAACACCACACAAAAGTGCCAGTGCTGCCAGCTAAAACACACATCAACAAAAAAAAAATATTGGAGTAGCCCAAGATATAGCCAAAGATTGCAGTGCCACAGCACTAGCGAAAATTTAAATTTGCTGACTGGAATTCTTTTGGATAACTGACTTTCGGATAAACGACGCTCTATTGTAATAAATAAAACTGTTTATGAACAACTACAAGTACAGTGAATCTCACTTAATGTGGCACTCACTTTCATATGATGATATTCCTCTGTAAGAAAATATTGGTTATGTAGCATTAAAAAAAATTGTCTTTACACTACTTTTACAGAATGAGAATAGAGCTAATGTTACTAATCTATATGCGTGAAAGAAATAGTTCAGTGTTAATTATGAAGTAGTTCAATGTTTTTTTCAAAAATTCAAACATCATACTTTAAAGAATTTTTGTTGCTTAACTATGACAGTAAGTGGATGACACACATTGAAGACCCAGCTCATCAGCACCATTTTTAATCTGGTAAATACTACAACTGTTGTTAAAAACCATAGCAGATAAAAAAATACTAGATAAATTACAAATTAATTAATAATAATAATTAATAAATATCCAAGTTATACAGTTTTTAATTGTTTTAACAGGTCTTTTTTTAATATTTAAGTCAATAAAATCAGAATTTCCATTCATTTAGTCTTATTTAATTACCCTGTTTTAATGTTATCAGTTTAGGCAACTTCCAGAGTAATTATATTAAGCAGAACACCTGTTGGTGTTACTATGTGAATTGATTACTATATGATTGATTGTAAAACAGGAGGTGGAATTCTTGTTGCAGATTGCATCTGTTTATTGAAGAGAGATCAGCAAGTTACCGATCTAAAATGCATGTAATAAAGAATTTGTTAATATACATCTTCTGAGTGATTTCTGGCTTCTGTTAACTATTCCAGTTACAATGACACTACAGACAGATTAAATTGTCAAGAAAAACCTTTTAAATGGTTGTGTAAATACTAAAAAATCCAACATGTATTGCTATTTTTAGCTTACTTTTTATTAATTTAGAAGTTAATTTTTGGCATACAAAAAGGTTGTGAATCCATATTAAATTATCACAAATGTTTCTCATTTGGTTATGATTCTAGCAAAAGAAATGTTATCAAAATAAACAACAATTAATTGCAAAATAAAAATGTTCATTAGCTTATGATAAAAATTTCCAAGCAGACATTTCATGGTAAACTTGGTAAGTATCAAATAAAAATATTCAATAAAACTTAAATTATAATATAAAATTTTAAATTAAATCTCTATTTACCAAATCTGCTATCTCTTCTTGTAGTGAAGAATGTACACCCATAATAAAGGGTGTTGGTGTGCTTAAAACTTCAATAAGAGCTGCAGGTAACAATGGAATATATACATGGCTAAATTAAAAAAAAAGTATATTAAATATAAAAAAAATACACACTAATCAATTAGTCAATTTAGAAGATTATTCAATTAAATAATATGCATGTAAATTTTTATAGGAATCCTGTATGAAAATGTGTGTTTATGTAAATATGTACATAAAAGTTTATAATGCATATTGATGACTGATATACCATATATTTGCGCAGATAAGATGACCTTCAGATAAGACAAGGTATAAATTTTCATCAAAGTTTCATAGTTTTAGCATATATCTGTCCTATACGATGACTCCCAGTCATCTTATAGGACAGATATATGCTATCAATGCCTATGAATTTAGTTTAGATCAACAATCATCATCTGGATAATAATACTGTATACCGTGTATGGAATTATATCCTATTCGTAATTTTTCAAATGAACAAATTTTATTTTCTTGCATCTGGCAGCACTGCCTTGCTATTGTTGCAAACATTCCCACTGATTTGGTCATTCGGGTAATAACCTTGACTATTCACAAAAACATCATATGGGCTATTCTATTTTGTGGACATACCCTACTCTCTACTAGTAAATAATTAGTTTTTTCATTTTTTATAATGATCTTAATTTATATAAATTTCAATCTGAATTTCTTTTTTTTTTTTTTTTTTGTATCTGTCCTATAAGACAACCCCGGATTTTGGGGGTCTTTTTTTTATGATTCAACTATTGTCTTATCTGCGCAAATATACGGTAACTAATACATTAGTTCTTTAATTTCAGCTCAATTACAGCATATTAAAGCATAATCATAACTAAATATGACTAATTCTGGCCACTTCGTTGATATGTCTATCGTTTGAACAGCAAAAATTAGTACTAAAATGCTATTGAGAATTTGAAAATGTATCAGACCTAACTTTTGTGTATTTTACCTTTGGAACTATTATAAAAATATATATGATATTAAACCTTCAATGCTTGGATAATTGATACAAGCAATTAAAGAGACAAACAATACTAATAAAAATTTAACAGTCATTTCCACATCTTTTTCTCAATGATGCAAAACATATATGGATAACAATGGGCATTTTGAAAGTAAAATATAATTTTATATATAAATTAACTTTACACTATATTATGTTTTTCAGGTAGCTCAAAGTACATAAAATTTATAAAACTATTTTAAAATGTATGAATTTAAAGCAAAATGTGCATAAAGTTTTGGAACATCATATTTCTAGAATTAGATAACTTTCAGTTTTGATTTAAGTTTAATCTTTTTCACTATAATTCATAAAAATAAAAATTGTTAATCATATCAAACAGAGGAATATAGTCACCATGAAAACAGTTTGTTTTTCTCTTTGGTAATATCAGTAAAATATTGTTTAATGTGATTTCCATTCTAAAGGCAATTACAGTTGACTATCAAAGTTAGATCAACCATAATTGATCTTGTGTTGCTTCTCACCTGCAGTATGATACTGTCTTTTAAAGCTGCCAAATCTACAACATGCCAAATCTTGATAAATCATACTGTTTAAATGTCCCTAAAACCAAAAAATACACAGCTTACAGTGCTAAAAATATCACAGTGGTAAATTTTGATACTAAAATTTTTTTATAGAAAGGTCTTCCATAGGTCCTGAAATGTCATCATACCAAATCTGGTTGCATTTTCACTGCTAAATATTTCACTAAACAGCATTGAATAGGGGTACTTTAATTATGATTACTTGCTACTTAAAAGATTTCAAAGTTCTAATTATATAGCAGAAGTTCTGACACTGATAACTACAACAGCCCAATTACATTTATCAGGGGTGCACAACCTGCGGCCCGCGGGCCACATACGGCCCCTTATCAATGTTTATGCGGCCCGTGGACGGTACAGGCCAAATAAATCCCTTCTTTCCAAGTTTCTAAGTGTAGAACTTTTCCCTTTCACAAAGTCATTAGCACCCAACTGTTTTATAACTTTCCCTGAAGTGAGAAATGGGGAGTTGTTCTATAAATAAGTCTATTTCTATCTAACACTTTCTGGTTTAGATATCGAATATTTTAAGTCTAATACATCGTATTATAACGATTTTTTTGAAGAATCAAATAGAATAAAATGATGTTAGAACGTCATTTCCGATGTTATCAGGAAGTTTCTATTTTGTTGGGAAATCTTCAATTTTATGCCTCGGAAAACTTGCTTATTCGTCTAAATAGCGTCAAATAACAAAAATAAGTGAAAATAGCACTGAAAAACCATGAAAATAACGATTTTTTAGCATTTGTTTACATTCTAGATTCTGATTAGTATAGTCGAATTTAAATCAATCTTTTCTAAAAAGACGCTTATTCGTCAATCTAATGCCATTCAAACTAGAAAAAACTAACCAGAGTTAAAAAAAAATGTACAAAAAACTATAACAACCAATAATTTACAACAATATCTTTCCATAGACTAAGAATAGAAAAAAAATTTTTTGCATCAAATTTATTATTATTAAGTTGGACCAAGAAAATTAATGCTGTAATTGGAATAGTCATTATGACTGAAAGGAAGCCGTTTGCACTAAAATATTTTGGATTTAATAATTATTACAAACCGCGTCAAGCCATAAACTTGTCAACAAAGAGGGTTGTAAAATGATTCCGTGTAGCTAGAAAGCTGCGGTTTCTTTTGTTTGAAAGAAAACAGATATATTTAGGTTATTTAAGTAGTAAATTAATTGGAACTTTTTATTTACTTTTATTTTTACATTCTTTTTTTCGTAAATTTAAAATTAAATTATTATTTTTAATTTTTATTTTATTTGAAATTTAACAGTCGTAAACTGTGATATATTTGTGACAGAAAACAAAAAACAGATTGATTCTAGCGCCAATTTGAAACGAGATATCGCAATTTTAATAATTATATTTAAAATATTCAGATTTTCCACTGCACTGTGTTAATCACTTTTGATTCATTTCTGAACACGGGGGTAAAACTGACAGGCCATAAATATAATTTAGGTAAGAATGGTAACCACATTTATGATGGATTAGTGTCCTGCACCTGGCATGTTGACAATCTGACTCACAATTCTGAGAAATGGTGGAGATGCCCGGACAGGGGTCGAACGAATTAAGACCTGCCTGGCCATTTGTCAAGTGTGCATAATAGTCTTCTGTCCCCGCCTCTTTAGTCTTTGGTGGATACAGAGTGGATACAGAACAAAGCACATGGTAGTCTAGCTTGCCTTATCTCAAACACGATTCATTGCAGGCCTCAGAATTTTCGGCACAACGAGACATTGTTTTGCAGAGTGAACAGTATGGCGTCAGACATTAAACGCAAGGTCGATCGCAAGAATCGTCAATTTCAAGAAGTGTGGACTAACAAGTACTGTTTTGTGCAACGGAACAACAGCATTATTTGCCTCTTGTGCAATGGAACAATAGCAGTGCCAAAAGAATTCAACCTGAAGCGACATCATGAAAGCCAACACAAGGATTTTCTTCTGCAAGGTACGAAACGAGAACGGAAAATCGAATCGTTATGACGATCACTAATCAGCCAACAAAATGTGTTCAAGAAACAATCTGGAGAATTGGATGCAGCTGTTGAAGCCAGCATAGAAATATCTGCTTTAATAGCCAAGAATGGGAAACCTTTCACAGATGGCGATATGATAAAAAAAGTGTCTTATCATCGCAAGTGAGAAGATGTGTCCTGAGAAGACAAAGTGTTTTCAAACAGTCTTAACCGCATGACGATACAACAAAGAATCTCGCAAATTGCATCAGACATTTCTGGCCAACTTAATATTTTAGTTGCAAACTGTGCTTATTTTTCTTTGGCTGTGGATGAATCCACTGACATATCATCAACAGCACAAGTGATTGTGTTTATTAGAAGTGTTTCACTAGATTTTATTGTGAATGAAGAATTTCTTGGCATGGCATCACTTTCTGGACATACAACTGGTGCTGACTTATTTACTAGTTTATTGAGCGTTTGCAACAAATCAGCACTGGACTTTGACAAGCTATCCAGCATTGCCACCGATGGAGCACCATCTATGGTTGGATGTGAGAATGGCATGGTCACCTTGCTGAAAAACCACCTTGGGGACAGGCAAAAGGAGTTAGTCCAGTATCATTGCATAATTCACCAACAGCAACTTTGTGCAAAGAAGCTGGGATTTGAACGTCTGCTGAAAGATGTATATGATACTGTGAACTTAATCCGCCGTCATGGACTCAACCATCGACTCTTCACATCATTTCTTGAAGAAATAGATGCTGATTATGCTGACCTGCCCACGTATACTGAAGTTCGTTGGCTGAGCAAGGCAACAGTCCTCAAGAGATTTGTGGAGCTATTGGGGCCTATTATCACTTTCCTCAAAGAACGGGGGAACACTACAAGGAATTTGGAGGGACAAAGATGGCAGTGTGATTTAGCTTTCCTTGCTGACATTACTGCTTATCTAAACGACCTTAATTTGAGATTGCAGGGAAAGATGCAACTTGTTTCTCAGTTGACAAGTAACATCAATGCATTTATGACCAAACTATCACTTTTCAAGTCCCACATGCAATCAGAGAACTTTACACACTTTCCACATTGCAAGGCCATGAAAGAGAAATACCCACATATGAAGATGGATTACTCTGACCAAGTTAACACCCTCCTTACATCATTCAATGAGAGGTTTGGTGAATTCCAGAAATACAAGATCTACCTGCAACTTTTTTCAACTCCATTTGATGTGAAAGTGGAAGATGCCCCTCCAGATGTCCAACTTGAGTTGATAGACATCCAGTGCAGTGATGAATTGAAATCACAGTTCAAAAATTCTAATCTCCTCACATTCTACAAAGAACTGCCAGATACATCTGAAAGACAATGCCAAAACTGCCAGATACATCTGAAAGACAATGCCAAAACTGAAAGACAATGCTTGATTTTGTGCAAGCATGTTTGGCAGTACCTATGTATGCAAACAAGTGTTTTCGCTTATGAATTTAAACAAGTGCAAAACACGGAACAGGTTAACCAACGAGAATTTGGAAAATCTGCTGGTTGTTTCAACATCTGCCATTACACCAGACATCAAGAAGATTGCTGCCAGCATCCAATCTCAGCCATCGCATTAATCGCTTGGAGGTCCGGCCCCCAGCCAGTAAACTTAATCCTAATTTGGCCCTTCTTCACAAAAGGTTGTGCATCCCTGCATTTATTATTTTTCAAATCAATAATTAAATATACAAACAAAATAATCAAATATAACATAATAATAGATTATTGTGAATTATTATATAAAATTAAACTTTACAATAAATTAGTTACTAGGAGGACAATTGTAGCATATGTATTTTTTTAAAGTTCCCTAAAAACAAAGAATTATCTTAATGACAAATATTTTATTAATATTTTTTTAAATTGAAAAATGCTGTTAATTCATCTTATAAATATTAAAATGAAGTCGAACCTGCAAATTGCATAAATTATACATCACAAATCTTCTAATTATATAACAATCAAACCCAGTTTCAAATTATAAAAGCAACATTTTAACAAAAATAAACAGTCTTATTAACATTAAAAATAGAGTATTCTTAATGACTTATTTCACTCTTCATCAGATCTTAAACTGGATATTTCAAAGAACATTGTTTAAATTTTTTTATTCTAAGCAATTTTCTTAGATTAAATGCAATATTCATAACAGCAACAAAATAAAAAGTTAAATCAAATTCAAACCAAATAAGATTAACTTAAAATTAAAAAGAAATTGATAAATACAACTGAACACTAACTAAATTATCAGAATAAAACATAAATTAACATATTAATCACTTTTAAGAAAAGTAAATTTTGGAAAAATTTTGGCAACCCATCTATGAAAGGAGTTTAAAAGAAGACAATTAATTTAAATGTTAGTCATATAAATTCACAAAGTATATAAACTTATAAAAAACCTAACCTGTATTTAAATGGGTACATTAAAGCAGTGATGGCATGACAGGCATCTGTTAAACGTGAATAGCTTCTTGAATAGAAAAGAATCTTATGTTCTGTCATAGCTGCACAAAATAATATGACAACATTATGAATTCCTGTAAAAAAAAAAATATATGTATATATATATATATATATATATAATTAAAATAAATTTTTAGATGATTAAAATAATTCTAATAACTTGAATTATTTATTTATTTATTTTTAAAATATTTATCAAAATACAGTAGAGCATCAATTATCCAACATCCGATCAATCATCACATCGGTTAAGCGACCGTTCTAGTTGGCAAATTTCAAATGTCAGCTAGTGATATGGCACTACAATATTTGGCTATGTCTTGGCTATTTTAATATTAGTTTTGTTAAATTTTTGCGTGTTTTAGCTGACAACACTGGCTCGACCATGAAAGAGAGGCCAGTACAGTCGACCCCCCTATAACACGGTAGATACATTCCGTTCTTTATGAATCCATTTTGTATGAGTCCTTGCCAATCACAGCCCGGCACATATGCACTTTACGGACTACGGCCGTTTGAAAGGTTTTCTTCCATAAAATTAATCGATTCCTAGACTAATTTGACTCAACATTTCCAAAACACGTATATTTTTTTGGGAATAATCCGTATAAACTATGCTATAAACAAAAAATTGTAGGATTATTTACCGAGTGTGCACCGTTCGACATCGCCATTGCTTAAGCTTGTTTTCGTCGCAGAGCAGCGCACCAAATGGCGGCCGCAATTTCTGATAAGTTATTTTTCTGCGAAAATTTTGTTGAACTTTGGAGACATCATTAATATAAATAATTTTTATGGCCGTTGAATAAGAAATGTTTCTTTCACAAGAAATGTATAAAATTAGTGCTGTATTAGACTTACGGTACCTAATTTACATACTGTACAGACGATAGTAAACTCAATTTACCCGCCTAAACTCTCTGTAGCGTGGTGCTGGATGGCGGAAAGTAGTTCGGCTGCCCAATGACATTTTACCGAATTATAGGAGTTTTTTTACCATGTTTGTACAGATACCGTCGCAATTTTTTCGCCATCATATAGGAATCCGAACTATAGGAACCCGTGTTATAGAGGGGGGTCGACTGTATTTAAACGAGGCTTAATTTTCTAAATATGAATGGTTGTTTGTTTTGTGAGCAATAAAATAATTTAAAAATAATTTTTAACGATACAATAGCAATGATTATTAGACTATTAAAAAAAATTTTTTAGGCTTAACATTGATGAAAATTCAATGCGAAGTAGGTTAATAGTGATATACTAATTACATGGGATATACTAATACTATATACTATACTAATAATGTATTTTTTCATACTTTTCGGTTATCAATTTTTTCAGTTATTCGACTAACCCCAGTCCCCAATTGAGTTGGATAATCGATGCTCTACTGTAGTAATAAAATAATTTTTGAATTATTAAACAAAATAATAAATTTTAATTTATTCTCATTTATATTAATATATATTAATTTAAAAAAGTGGAAATTTGGATCTTTAATTGCAATTTAAGTTAATAAGATTAACAAAGTCACTAAAAGATGATTGTCATAAATCATTCATATAACAACGTAATAAGTCTTCCTTAATAAATTTCTTTTTAGTAAAAGAACTCAATAACTATTATTTAAAATTTATAATGTAATCAATTGCATTTAGGAATAGAATGGTGAATACCAATCTATTCCTAAATGTAGAGAAACTTCCTTAGTGATCTAGCAGAAAAATTACCCAAAATTTATTGATTTAAATGGAAAATAGACCTTTATTTTGCAAATCCTTCTAATTTGCGTCCACTTATAATCATATGTTTTTGGTCCCTTCCACACAAAATCAGCCTCAATATATGATCATAAACCTAAACATCACATTATTACAATGCCTGATTTTGTTGGTCATTATTCATAATGACCGAGCATTATGAATAATGCCCATATTAATCATTTTGTCCATAACATATACACCAATAGCACAATATTAGAGACAAGTTGCATTAATATGAATCGCTAGGGAAACAATAGTTATTCACTTTATCAAAAATTTGTATTAATGATTTTCAGGGTCAAGATCAAGATTGTATAATTTAGGGAGTTAAGTCTTAAACAAAACAAAGCTAAAAGAAATCCATAAATTTTTTCTGTTGAAACTTATTTGAAAAAGTAGAAAATATTTTTTTGGTGCCAAAAGAGTAAAAAAGTAGCCAAACCTGGCATCATTGTATGCACTCCCTGATATGCAAATTAGCATGTGTTTGCATGGGGACCACATTCATTTAAAGGAATGAGTGTCCTTAACTCCTATTTTCTGAATGCAGTAGAATGGTCCACTAAAATCACGTTTGAATTACTCTATAATTGAAGATTGAACTCTCTACTCTCTAGGAGAAAATCTATTCTACTCAAAATGTAACTTTTATTACAGTACCATATTTTATTTTCTCATTAAAAAGGGTAAAAAGCAACTATTATTGGAAATAGTGTTATTTCTTGGGGATTATGATGATTTGGAGTTTGGTTTAACAAATTCTAGTAAAAGTTTGTTCACTTTATCATGTGAAAATTAATGTTATAACAATGGTATTTTGCCAGGATGATAGCAAACTTTGCTTTAACACAAGAATTTGCTTTATCAATGTTCATTTTAAGATGAGTCAACTGTAATCGTTTTTCAAAAACTATGTCTTGAACTATGTCTGGTCCAGCATAGTGCTAGATACCAGATATCTTTACTACAGTGGAACCCCGGTTAACGAACTTAATCCGTTCCGTGACTCCGTTCGTTAACTGAATTGTTCGTTAACCGAAGCAATTTTTCCCATAGAAATTAATGCAAATGCAATTAATCCGTTCTAGTCTCCNATAATGTTTTGATCATTTGCGACGTGCAATCCATTCATCTGAAACTTTGATTGTGGTTTATGGTGTGGAAAGCAAATAGCCCTTCCGCTAATGCTAGCTGTTTTTCCGTGTTGCCAAAGCTAGCACTGCGAAAAAACTGTTCCATTTTAGACAAGGAAGCGGCATTATTCAAAAATCTTTTGTGCCTCTTTGTCGCTAGATGTTCAGTAATATCGTTTTTTCCACCATGTGAGACCGAAAATTCAGCATTGCATTTATCACACCGTACCATATAGTCTATTTTGGTTTTTTTAATAAATGGAAATTATCAGCTTAGCTCTTCATTAAATTTGCATTCTCTTTTTTTACTCATCTTTTATTCTGTGGGTAAATACTAGAAATAAATAAAAAATTTACTACAAAGGCTAAAAAAGAGTATTAAATTTTACCTTATTGACTGTTACGTTGTGGCGATTATTGCTCTACCTTCGTCAATCAAATAATGAGTCAAACCGAACGTCAAATTGAAAACAACAAACCGCACTGTCTAACGGCAGTCCGCACTGTCTACACTTATCTGAATTAAGCTGAGACGTAACAACAATGATAGAACACCACCGAGTAAATCTAACTCGGTACATTGCCTAATTTAGTTTACTCTGCATGCATTTTATGTGTTTTTTTATGTATTTTTTATTTCTTTATATTCACCATAATACTTAATAAATAATAGGTAATATATTTTTACAGTACATTTAAAATAAGAAATGCAGATATTTTCTAAAAAGCGGGACATTTTTAAAAATCGGCGGGACGCGGGACAGTCCGCCAAAATCGGGACGTGTGGTCACTTTACATTAAATGCATACATTTACATATCAAATTATGAAACAAAAGGAAAATTCATTAGTTGTAGTGTGAGCTGATTGCTTATCACCACCGTTACACATTGCAAAAAACATTTAAATCTTAAACATTTACTTACTATTCAAAAAAGAACATTTGAAATCCTAAACTTATAAAAAAAAAAGTTCATGAATAAACTTTACTTTTAAGGCTAAAATTTTATTCTTATTGTAGCTTTATGAACAGAACCATAAAATAATCCAGTTTCATATGTTCATTGGACTCACTTTAAGTACACCAAAATGTCTTAAGTCTTCTCTTGAAACTTTTTCTGAGAAAACAACTTTTGCTTTTTTTTGCTATACACATTTTATGAAGTGCCACTTATTGTAAACATGAATATAGTTAATAAATGTAAAAAAAAAAAAAAAGTGTAAAAACTTGCAGACTTTTTCAGGCAGATTTAAGATATTTTCACATAAACCTTTCTACTTATTTTTTTGTAGCTTTTCTTCCTTATGTAACTTTACACTATATAAAACTCTCTGTTCTCTGATCTAAGGCATTTCCAGTTTTTGCAATACTAATTTAATTAAATAACTACAACAAGTTAATACTACACTCAAGATCAGTGGTGTGTTGCAAGTCACTCAGGCATAACCAATTCACAAAGTTGCCAAACTCCTTGCGCTATTCTCACAAATTCTTTCATTTGACATTCACTATTTATTTATTTATAATCATATATTAAAAACTAGATATGTAATAATGAAATATAATACAGTAAAACCTGTCTAAAATAAAACCTGAATAAAAAGAAAATCTATCTAACAGAAAAAACTTTAGAATATAGCAATTTTCTCCTTTAAATTTAGTATTTGATGAAAAACACAAAAACTTTAGAAATCCTTGAAATCTACAAAGCTTCCAAGGATGGTGATTTTTTATTTTATTTTTATTTTTATAACAGATAGATGGCTGTCCTTAGACTTAGCCCAAAAGGAGGGGTGGAAAAGGAAGGCGAGGGTTGGGGAGGATATGAAGCGTGGGAATGGAAGTGAGGATAATAGTGGTAGGAAGGATAAGAGGAGTTAGTATACCGCTGATGACTTGAATTGCCTTATTTTAACAATTAAAATACAAAAATACAAAATATATACAACAGAATGCCATTCTGGCCGATGATCAAGTAAACAATGGTTAAACATTTGTTAACACTGAGTGCCATTCTGGCTTAATGATAGTTGATAAGTCCTGTTGGGGTCTTGCACTTAGGGCTGGAAGAGCGTTCTAGTATAAAAGACACGATGGCGGAGCTAAACTACATTCTAAAGATTGCAGAACAACAGGGATACCAAAAGGAAATCATAAAGAATCTTATTACAACCTTCCAAACAACTAAACAACGGCATCCCACAGTAGACCATAGACAAAAGATGGTTTTAAATTATGTCCCGTTTTTGATACAAATACATAAACGGCCAAGGCTAATGATTTCAGTGTAGTATATCGACGCAATCCTAGAGTTTTCAAGCTATTAAGAAACAATAAGAAGCGTTATGACTGGAAATCGGCATCAAGGATCTATTCTATACCATTACACAATCAGCGTTTTAATTTGGATCTTGTTTACGGAGGCGCAACAATGCACAACTTGCAGCAACGTATCAAAGAGCATAAATATATGATTAATAAGAAACTTGACAACACCGTGCTATCGTCTTACGCAACACAACACGACATTCAAGACCATTGGGATCGGGTGGAAATAATTAAACCTACGACAAATTTACATACAATGAAATATCTGGAGAAATTAGAGATCTTTAAGGCACACAAGAAAACTGGTTGCATCAACCATAGAGATGCGGACTCTTTACCTACCGCATGGCGATCCTTTTACAAGAATTAACGACTTTATTTATTTTTATTTTTGTTAAGGGACATTTTTTCGGATTAATTTATATTTTTCATTTATTTTATCAACACAGCTATTTTTCCGTTATTTATATTTTAATTTCGTATTTACGTTCTTTTTTGTGTTCTATGTTATGGTAACTGAAGAAGATCGTTAAGAAACAATCGAAAACGTTTTTACATTATTAATTTTTATTAGCTGGATTATTAAAGGTGTGTTTTATTAGTAGTATATTTATCCAGTTCGTTCGTTATATAAGTATAAATAATGTTTTTAACTAAATACTACATATTACCTTACTTACATCATCTAATTTTTAATTATATAATGTTAAGTAAATGTATGATATTAAATTGCTATTAAATTATTAATTGCAATTTAATTAAAATGAAAATTTATAAAGTTTTTACATGCTTAATATTATTGAATTATAGCAATTAAATATGAGGCATGTCCAGAAAGTATGCACTGTTTGGCTATTTATAAAAGTAGACAACTGAAACAAAAATTATTTTATTACAGTTAATTACAGTCCAATTTTATGTTCCATCACCTGTGACTTGAACCATTTCTGGACTTTGCAGTGATTGTTGTTTGATTTTTGGTGTCATATGGCAAATCCATGTTTTGTCACTGATGACAATTTTTTCAAAAATCCATCTACTTCCCATTCATACCATTGCAAAAGTTCTAAGGATGTCCCATGTATTTTGTTTTGTGAATGTCCATTATCATTTTTGGTATACAGTCGACCCCCCTATAACACTGTTGATAATTCTGTTTTATATGAATTCCATGTTGTACGAGTCACTTAGATTTTACAAATACATGTTCTGGGCTGTGAACGGCTCACATATTTGTAAAATCTAAGTGACTTGTACAACATGGAATTCATATAAAACAGAATAATCAACAGTGTTATGGGGGGTCGACTGTATATACTTTTTGAAGTGCAAGTGTTTAATCACAATTTCATGCAGCAAAGATCTTGAAATATAAGGAAATTTTAGAGACAAATCAGAAATTGTGAACTGTCTATTGGAATAAATCTTCTCTTCAACATTGTGCAGCAAATCTTCATTGAATAGAGATGGCAGTCACTATGCTCCTTGTTATAAACATTGTGTTCTTTCTTTGTCAAACATTCTAACCCATTTTCTCAACATACCTTTACTTATCACATTTAGTCCATAAACTTCACAAATTTTCCAGTAAATTTCATGTGGTCAAACATTTCTCGCATTCAAAAAACCCTATTACAGGTATACCACGCCTTATGTCGGTAATTGGTTCCAGGAGAACGACTTAAGTCGAGAAACGACATAAGTCGAATTTACTTGTCTCCAAATCTACTTGTCACTAGGCTAAACCATAAATTGCCAATTCCGGCTCTGTATTTTATTTATTAATGCATTTTTAATAATGTATGGTTAATAAAAATCTATTTTAAGCTTACAAACAAATAAATTTTAGTTTTTAATATAGTACAGAAAAAAAGTAATCTAAATTTATGAATGCATGTACTGTAAATACAGTNTGCAACTTTAATTTAGTGAATGTGTATAGTGGATACTAAAGATGAGAGTCTCAGAAGGAATTTTTATCTGAACCTTTGTTAAAATTGGACTCCTTTACTAAGATAGTATTACTGTTTTATCTGATATCAGGTATATACTGAACTAGCAGACTCCGCCACGCATTGTTGTTGCTCAAAATGTATCTATTATAAATGTATAACACTTCCCCCGTGGGAGGGGAATTTTTCCAAAAATCCATTTTTAGTGTATATTCTGTTGGCGTACCCTATTAAAACGCATCTAAAATAGTATAAATAGAAGCAGAGTTCTTCACAATAAGCCTTAACCTGTCCATCTCCCCCAGTGAGGAAATTTCGACATGTATATTATATAAAAATGCATGCATATTCAAATGCAACATTGTGTCAAAATTTCAAAGGAATCGGTAGGAACAAATGAACATTACATTTTTATTTATATAGATAGATAGAAGATGATCTGCTTTAGTTCATCCTCACAGAAAAGCATAATGCCTCACAGAAAAGCAAATTTCGTACTCACAAAGTTAGCGCCATCTGTTGGACATAAAAGTCTTAACCTAGATGATATCTTTTAATTTATATGAATGTTAATGGAATAATATACAGCCTATGTCCACCCTGAAGTTCCATTCTAAATATTGGTGAAAGAATTTTTGAAATTGGATGAATAGTTTTGGAGATTACCCCTACATCCAAACTTACAAACATTACCTCTTTATAATATTAGTATAGATAAGACATAATCCACCAATAATAATAATTATCATTTAATAAATAATAATGAGAATTATTGTGAGAAAAAGAATTATAATGACATTTTTAAAGTAAAACATACTATTTATGTCTTAACTATTTCATTACACTACTTAACTCTAAATGTTAATATAAAAAATTAATTTTACCAAGTTCTTGAAAAATTTGATATACTGTGATATTAGTAACAGGCAATGAGGCACTAAGAGGAGGTTGAAGAGCTTGCCTATCTCCAGCACCTATAGAAAATCGAACTTGAGGTCCCCCTAAAATATACACAAAATAATAAATTTTCATAAAATAAATACCAATTTATTTATTAATTACTATTTTATTATCTATACCAGTGTTTCTCAACGGGGGCGATATCGCCCCCATGTGGGTGTTTTTCCATGTTGAGGGGGTGATTTGTAACAAATAATATTTTGGGGGCGAAAAACAATTTTCTGGGCGATATAGTAAAACATTATATTAAGAAANGTTAATAAGAATCTATTTTAAGCTTACAAACAAATAAATTTTAGTTTTTAATAGAGTACAGAAAAAAGTAATCTAAATTTACGAATGCATGTACTGTACTGTAAATACAGTTCATACTTGTAAATGTATATATTTTAATATGATTTTATGTGCTTTAAACGTTTTTCTAGTGATATTACGACTTCAATATTTGTGGCGGACAGACGTAAAGGCGATTAAAATGACTTAAAGTTGATTTTTATTTTTCCATGTACTTTTTTGAGAAACGACGTATAATCGGGAATGACGTAACTCAAAACGACGTAGGTTGAGGTATACCTGTACTGCTTACATCTGGCAGGCAGCTTGATTGTTTTAAACATTATAACTGACACTTAGTGATCCTCAACATAAACAAGAAAAACAAATATGGCTTGGTTACTTTGTTCTTGAGCGGAAGAATTAACTATGCATGCACATCCTTGACATTGTCAAAATGTGTGATATATATATATATCACACATTTATATATATATATATATATATATACCATTTGTCNTCTCTTGAAACAATTTATTTTTCTTATATATATAAAAATGGTATTTACTTTCTGGATGCACCTTGTATATGAATTAAATCAATTTCTGAATTTATTACAACAAAACTCAATATAATGAATGTATATATCTAAAAATAATATTTTTCATATTTAAGATATAAATATAAAGCTCAATTTAAAAATTAAAGGATAAAATTTAATATTTTCAAACATTTAAAATAAACAAAATGCCTCAATATCAATGATATTAAATGTGAACAGAATTATAAACATCTTTTAAAGAGACTAAATTTATAATCTATACTCCATAAATACTTCTGATTAACTAATATTTATGTATAAATAAATAAATTGTATGGAGCAGAGGTTCCCAACTTATTTATATCATGAATCCTTTTCATATTAATAAAAAATATTGGAACCCAGACAATGACAAATGTTGAAATCCTGTAAATATCAATGAATTAAAACATACTAAGTAGCCATTTAACACGAAAACTGAAACTGAAAGTAAAACTATAAAAGTACAATTAAAAATAAGATCAAATTAATTAAAACTGAAATCAAATCAATTGAAAATTAAAACAATATTTTTAAAAACCTTTTAAAAGATGTTTTGAAATTTTCAAATTGTAAATCAAATTTATTTTTAAATTTATGTTATTTGTGTGCAGAACCTTTTGCTTTATATATATATA